CTCACTCTCAGTCCCACTCATCCCTGACTTATTCCACCAGTTAAAAGGGAGTTTTCCTCTCCCCTGTCGCTTCATGCATGCTTAGTGCAAGGGATTGCAGAGAGTCAATGAGTCCTCGCAATCAGCTGGTTTTCCTTAGATAAAAATATGTCAAAGAATATGATTGTGTTCCCTGTATAAATAAATTGAATATTTTCTATTTGCAACTTTGCTCTGTGTGAGTCTCTCCAGGTTGAAATAATTTCCAAACTGTTTATGAATAAGTCTGCTAAACCAAGATGGAAAAATGCTCTTTTTAAAAAAAGGTTCAAAAGTTTTTTTTTTTTACAGGGCAGCCTTTAAATAAAGAAGTGCTGCATCACTATTGGTGGTGCCTAAACTTTATGAAATAATTGAAACATGAATTCTAACACAAGCTCCTTATTTGCTCTGCTTTTTAAGTGTCTGCAAAATGTTTGCGCATCCATCTGATCCTGGAGCAAAACAAGATTTGTTTCTGAAATCTTTCATCATAAGCAAACCCTGTCACTCTGTGTGGGCACATTTTATACACTAGAACATTTTTAAGTGAAATTTTCTCATGTTTATATGCATTTAAGTGAACTTTCAGAATAAGCTGCCTTTGCTTCTTTAACACAGGGGCTGTTTACCTCTACAGCTGCTGTGGTTAACAGATGATATCCCTTATATTAAGCTAAAAAAAATATTAATGCTGATATATACTATTATATTATTCAAAAAAATACTCATTATTACAGATTTTTTTCAACATGTTTCTTCTGACTTGAAGTAGTACTGAAGTTTTGTTGAGTTCTGACTTAAATCTTCAGTAATTCAGTGTAAACATGCAAAGAGTAGGAGATAAAGTTTGGTTTCTATAATGGTAATAAAATGGTTGCTTATTGCAAAGTGTTTGAATAAATGCTAACATGACAGTTTTTTCATAAAATCAAAAATAAAACTGTAAAGATTTTTCTCAAAATCTGTTTTCAATTTTGAGGAAACAAGGAAAATAGAAACATTTTTTTGGTTGAATAAAAATAATAAGAAATCTTTGTATTTAGCTGTGTTTTTGTGTGTGCATCAAGATCAAATATGTCAATTTCTATCTGAAGGTACTATGCTGTGCGTGTACCTATGTGAATATACACACGTGTGTATAGATTTGTAAATATACTTTTTGTTTTTTGTCTTTATTGAATTGCTATTTAGATTTAGGACTTTTATGTAAATTTAGAGACTGGACTGGATAAATCATTCCTACCTCCTGCTCCCTTTTCAAGATTTTACAGAATATTTTATTGGAAATGAATGTTGTTACTTATTATTTTCAGCGGGTTTTTTTCTGTTGGATTTTTTATTTTTCAAAAATAAATAGATGAATAAACTATAAACAGAAATGTTAAACTTGCAGGAGTATTGATTAAAAATGTATGCAAAATCCTCAGAAATAATCCAGCGCATACTGTGCTAATCAACTCTCCAGAAATGTAGCATAGTTTGTTGTGTTTTGTATTAGTGTCTATGTTACAGTTAGAAATCCCGCTTTTAAAAATTAAGATGAAGCTCAGAGTAACGTATAAACATCTTGTTAACCTGAATAAACTGACTCATTTTAAAAACATATTTTAAAAATATTAAATAAATCATTTGGTCTAAAAAGTCATATACATGTAGCAATGACTGTTATATTACTTATTCATTATTTGGGCTATTATTATTATTATTTCAATAGAATGGACCCAGTGCCTGTCCGAATCCTTGAAACTAAAGAATTAACCACAGGCTCTTTTTAATGTTGTCTGGTTGGAGCTGAATTTAAAATGCCACAGTTGAAACAAGCCGTGAAAAAAATGCTTCTACTCTGCAGACGGCCGAAGGCAACAGGCCTGTGCAGGGAATTGGATGCACTAGATCTGTATCCCAAGACAAAATAAGACGTTGTAAATTGCAGTTCAGCATAATATTTATGTTATGTATTTAAAGTTTGTTTTTCTAAACTAATAAGAAACCAGGTTTGTATAATAATACCCAAAACACTGCATATTAAAAGTCTGTTAATTAATTTATTTTTTCCAATGTCAGTCTGTTATTGAAATATACCTTTACTGAAGGGCTTAGTAGTTCTTTTTTATAGCTCTTGTTTAACCTTTTCCTTTTTTGCTCAAACATCATTGTGTCAGTTGAACTCCGAGTTGTTCCTCAGTGTCTGAACCGATTTGTGCCGATGGTCGTTTTCAGTCGGTTTCCATGACATTTCTTTAAAGGAAAGAAGAGACAACATTCAGTGAAACAATGCAGCCATGCAGTAGTACCTAACCTTTACAGTAGGGAATCAGACTCCAACCATACAGATACTTCTGGGCAAGTTGTAGCTGTTTGGAAATGTTAACGTCACCAGCTGGAAATAACTTGTTCGTGCCCCAAAGTTCAAAAGCTTCAATGCTAAACAGGGGATTCCAATAAAACTCTTATCAATATTGAGTTTTTTTTTTTCTCTCTCCGATTAAAAAAGCATTCATGAGGTGGACCAGTTATGACTGCATCCAAATCATTTTAGATTTGTCTTGATGTCTTACTGGCACGGATTATTGATTGATTGACTTTATTGATCTCATAGTGGAGAAATTCACTTGTCACATCAGCTCAATTGTCAAAAAGAAGGTGCCTAAAGGAGGAACAAGGTGCATGGGGTATATACAATATATATGGTGCATCCACACACACACATACATATATATTTATATATAATGTATATAAAACAGCTGAAGTATCTTAACAGGATAATTGCACAGGGTTATTGCACAGATAGATTATGTGTGAAGCACACACTAATAAAGTTGCTTATTGTCATAACATTAAAGCAATAGAGTAGAATTAATGAACATATAATGTGCACAGATCGAATCGGGCCAAAAATTAATAAAAGTATAGGGCATCAAGGAGTAATCTTATAAGATTGTAATCAGGAAGTCTTTGTTCCCATAGTTAATGAGAAAATCATTACAATGTTTTACTTTCTTTAACTTCCCAACTTTCCCTGAATTGTTTTAAGATATTATGTGTGTGTGTGTAT